GCACCTGTTGTTAATTTCATTAACACCAACGCAGCTGATTAACAGCTCCCTCTGCTACTTAACTGACCAGATCAATATCCCAGGAGTTTAATTGACTTGATGCTATACTCTGATTAAAAAACGTTCCTTTAATTTTTTTCAGCAGTGTATGTACCGTATTTTTCGCTCCATAAGACACACTCCCCCCCCCAAAAAAAAAATGGGGGGAAAATGTCTGTGCGTCTTATGGAGTGAATATGGAGCTTACCCCCATCGCCACCGCCGTGTTAGAATACCGGGCTGGCCACTCGGCTTTTCTATGGCAGCACCGGGCAGGATCCAAAGCAGCTGCTCCTTAAAGTGGAGTTCCAGCTGAAAAAAAAAAAAAAAGCTGTAGCTGTTGACTTTTAAAATACATCCACTTACCTGTTCCTCAGTCCAGCAGTGTCCTCACTACCGCTGGTTTCACTGGCCATCTTCTCTCCCTGGCACCGGCATCTTTAGTGTGGGCACCCAGCTGCGACAACGTGCGGCTTCACAGCCAGGTTCCCACTGCGCATGCATGAGAAGTGAATGGCCCCGTAGTCTTCTGGGACCTGTCACGTGTCCCAGAAGACTACAGGGAGGGAGGGAGGACAACTTCCTCTTCCGATTGCAGTCTAAGTGGGAGCGGGTACCTGCCAAATTCGGATACCCGCTCCCAAACCCCCCCCCCCGCTCTTCAAAGGTCTGCAGCCTCTGGTCATCTCCTGTACTATGTCCACAGTCTCTGGTCATCTCCTGTACTATGTCCGCAGTCTCTGGTCATCTCCTGTACTATGTCCGCAGTCTCTGGTCATCTCCTGTACTATGTCCGCAGTCTCTGGTCATCTCCTGTACTATGTCCACAGTCTCTTGTCATCTCCTGTATTGTGAAATTGTGAAAAATAACTATTTTCAAACAAATAAAAATGCACACATTTTCCTGGTAGTTTAACCAGTTCAGCTCTTTGGACGTGCTATGTACTGTATGTCCAAGAGTGAAGGGTTAAGCACAAGCTGATGGCAGCCATATTTATAATGTTCTGGGGGCTTTAAAGTAGAACTATAGGCAAAACTTTTTTTTTCATTTTAGATAGAATAAGGTTCAGTTCTTTCCTGCTATCTGTGTACCATTGGGGAGATTTCCTTTAATTTCCTGTCCCATAGCCAAAACAGGAAGTCACCAGAACTAGTGTCCCAATTAGGAAGATTTCCCCTTTTATTATTTTTATGGGGACAACCCGAAATGTGGGATTTTGTTTGATTTTCACTTTCAGTGATAATAATAGAAGAGCTTCATAAACTTGAACAAATACATAAAAACATTTATCAGAAGATAATATTGAAAAGAGATGAGTTAAAAGATCTGATGGAGCAAGAAACAAGGAGGATATTTAATGAGGTTTCAAAAGAAAGATACAAATGGGGGGACAGACCTGGAAAACACCTAATGAGAAGACTTAAGAATAAGAAATCTAGAAATTTTATAGAAAAAGTAAGAGATGGGAAGGGAAAAACAGTACAATACATCTGATATTGCTAGGAGGTTTTCTAAATATTATAGCAAACTTTATGAAGTGAGGGGTGGCAATCATAGGGAAAACAAAGAGAAGAAGAAAAAAATTAGGCAGAAATATTTAAGTGAAATAGAATTGCCACGATTAACACAAGACAAATTAGAGACTCCTGAGAGTCCTATTACCCTGGAGGAAATTAATGTAGCCATAAAAAACACGACTGCAGGTAAAAACCCAGGACCAGATGGGTATACAGTGGGGTATTATAAAAAGTTCAAGGACCTTCTTGTCCCCAAAATGTGTAAATATATGAATGCGATTGGAGAGGGGTTAGAAATGAGCAAAGAGTCACTGCAGGGCCATATTACGCTAATTCTAAAGGAGGGCAAGGATTGTTCACAATGTGCAAGCTATAGGCCCATATCTTTGTTAAATACAGACACTAAACTGTACGCAAAGGTCTTGGCGACAAGACTGAAGGATTTGATGCCTGAATGGGTGCACTTGGATCAGGTGGGCTTTATACCGGGAAGAGAAGGGAGGGATAATAGCCCGAGAACCCTGTTTTTGGTACAAAGGGCTAAAGAGAAAAAATGCCGGCAATACTCTTGTCGATTGATGCTGAAAAGGCTTTCGATAGGGTTAATTGGGGATTTATGTTTGATACTTTGGAAACACTGGGAATGGGGCCCAAAATGCTGAACTGGATAAAATGATTATATAAAAACCCATCAGTGGCGGTTAAAGTAAATGGAGCTCTTTCACAGTATTTTAGAATGCATAATAGTACCAGACAGGGATGCCCTCTGTCCCTTTTACTGTTTGTTCTGTCTCTGGAACCATTTTTTTTAGAGGATAAGGAAATGTATTGATATAAAGGGGATACAACTAGGAGAAAGAGAGCATAAAGTAGCCGCCTATGCAGATGATATGTTATTTTATATCACTAATCCCAGATTAACGCTGCCCAATTTAATGAAAGCATTAAAACAGTATGGGGAGATGTCAAACTTGAAAATAAACCCAGTAAAATCAGAAATTTTAAATATTAACCTTTCAATGCTAGAGAAGATTGGCTTATAAAAGGAATTCCCATTCACTTGGAAGAGAATTGAAATAGGTTATCTTGGAGTAAAATTGACCTCCTCTTTAAAAAATGTATACAAGGCAAATTATATCCCGTTAATAAATTAAATTAAGGAAGAATTGAGAAGGCTATCAAAAGGAGGAGCCTCGTGGATTGGACACATAAATCTGGTTACGATGGTGATACTTCCGAAAATTTTGCTGCTGATCGCCCTACCAGGGTCTTTTTTTGGGATAATTAAAAAGATGATTATTACATTTATTTGGGTTAATAAGAAACCAAGAATTAGTTATGAGGTTCTAAGCAGAGCAAAAGGAAATAGAGGCACATTACCTAATGTGAGGTTATGTTACACAGCTGTTATTTTATCACGAGTGGTGGATTGGACATTCAACTCATAGGGGAAGGGATGGGTGAATATGGAAGGGGCATTATGCAAATCACAGTTAGAGAAGAGTATATGTATCCCGCACAGGTTTTGCACATTTGATGTAGATATTAGCTCACTGACGAACATAGTTTTGGGTACGTTGGATAGAATACACAGTAAAAAAAAAAAAAAAAAGGGAATTTAATTCACTGAGGATTCCATTAGTGGGAACGGAGTTTTTCCCCCCAGGGAAGGATAATATTAGTGGGAACTGGATAAAGGATAAGAATGCACATTTGAAAGACATTATAAAAGATGGGAAATTGCACGCATTTCAAGATTTAAAAAATAATAAATATTTATTTGGCATGTTGGATAATTGGAGGTATTACCAGCTAAACTATTTTGTAGTGAGCCTCCCACAACCGCTTAGGACATTGGAAGAAATGTACCCATTTGAAAACTTATTAAATGGAGACAAGATCCCAAAAACAGGTTACCTCAAAAGTATATAAGATCCTCACGGACATGGAAGGAGGTGATCCTCCTGGGTATATGGGGAAGTGGGAGAGGGAATTGGGAGTACAAATTAATCAACAGCAAAGGAATATGGTTTTTAAATTGACCCATAAGGCGATAAACATGCGTACAGTAGAAATGAACTATAAATGTATGGCTAGATGGTATATAACACTAAGGGTAGCCCATAAGCAGCAAGTAGAGATATGCCCATTGTGTTGGAGAGGATGTGGAGAAGGAGGTACAATGGAACATATATGGTGGAGTTGCCCAAAAATACAGAACTATTGGAAGGAAATAATCCAATTGACCCAGGAAATATGCGAGATAACCTTGCAGAGAGACCCATGGAAGTGTTTATTTTATTATTTCGAGCCTTCACTGGCATTACATAAAAATAAATTATTGAAACAAAGAACAAAAAAGTGAGCGCTTTAGAATGGACAAGCAGCTGAAACACACAGGACAACCAAAAATCCCCACATGAATATAAAATATAAAGTGCAGCGCTATAATTGTGACATAAATTATGAGAAAGGGATATGGAAAAAAAAATAAAATAAAAAAATGAATCAAAATATAAAAGAAAATAGGTCCCAATGTAGAAAAGTCCCAGTAAAGGTGACTTCAGGCGGCCGTACACACTGACCACAGGTGCATGCAATATGGCAGAGATGGAGTTCAGGACGTAGTCATCATGGAAACAAGGGGGGTAGATGCAATCCCTGGATCAGTGAAGATCCTCAGACCAAAGCAGCACAGGATCCACTAGACAGCAAGGAAGAAATCACAGCTCCACCTGAGAAAACCACCACTCCTCCACTGCACATCAACGATATCTAGGAGGAGATATTGAAACTCGAGTTGCTCGTTCTACCCGAAGGGGGAATTAGCGGCCGGCGGGCGGAGCTTGAGGTGAAATTTTAAGAATCTACTCTACTGAAGTAAACAGAGAATTTTGATACCATGAAGTGGTAGTGCTGAGAACACTTAAAAATCAACTTCTCCTGTACAATCATAAGGAGCCCCGAGGTGTAGAATTAGAAGGAGACATGTTTCAATATCTCCTCCTAGATATCGTTGATGTGCAGTGGAGGAGTGGTGGTTTTCTCAGGTGGAGCTGTGATTTCTTCCTTGCTGTCTAGTGGATCCTGTGCTGCTTTGGTCTGAGGATCTTCACTGATCCAGGGATTGCATCTACCCCCCTTGTTTCCATGATGACTACGTCCTGAACTCCATCTCTGCCATATTGCATGCACCTGTGGTCAGTGTGTACGGCCGCCTGAAGTCACCTTTACTGGGACTTTTCTACATTGGGACCTATTTTCTTTTATATTTTGATTCATTTTTTTATTTTATTTTTTTCCATATCCCTTTCTCATAATTTATGTCACAATTATAGCGCTGCACTTTATATTTTATAAAAATAAATTATTGTATCATATATTAAGTGCGGAAAAGGGTTTAACCTCCCTAGCGGTATTCCCGAGTGTAGCTCTGGGTAAAGTTTCAGTACCAAAAGTGGTAACCCCGAGCTACCCTCGGGATTACTATGTGGCGTTGCTCAGGGATTCCCTGCAGCGCTTACCTTGTCCTTCGCTCCCGCGATGCGTCCCCTGCAGCGTCCCCGGCCATCTCCTCCGGCCAATGCCGGCATCCGGCTTCTGTGTTCCGGTCCCTGCGAGTGTCAGGACATACGGTACGTACGGGGGCCGGAACCGGCGGCAGATTTAAAAATTTTTTAGAAACTTTCATTTACATTTGACATAGTAAAACATTACTGTATCAAACCATTTCACATACATTTTGTCCCTGCTGCTTTGTCCTGTGCCCTGCCTGCATTTTGACTGTTCTTTCTGCCTGGAAACTTAGAAAAGTCCATGGCGTCCAAAAAGCGTCCCTTTAGGTCAAAAGCGGTTTTAGACCAGCTAGAGAACAGTGATAGTAAATCAGAACCACTTGCAGAATTGAGTGATAATGATTTGTGGGGAAATTCGTCATCAGACACTGAAAACGATTTTGCGACTTTGCTCAGCGATGTGCGAACTTGGCGTTATATTTCAAATTTCAGTGTTTTTGGTTTGATTATATTATTGAATTAAATTTATTATTATATTATTTTTATGATTATTTATTAAATTATAATTTATGATTTTGTGTTTCAAGTTTTATCCTACCCGGGATGTTTACTAGACTCTTCTTCGGACAGATTTCAGTGAGTTATTCTTAAGAATTACAGGCCTACAATAAAAAAAATACATATTTCCATGCAAAAAAATTTACCGCTTTCTGCACAGAAATATGGACATAATCAGACCCGCTAGGGAGGTTAATTCCTAAGTACTGTCAGGAGACAAAAGCACCAAAAATTGCGGATTGGAAAGAAAGAGTGGAGGACATCTTTAGAATGGAGGAATTATATCATTTGGAAGAGGATAAAATGGAAAAGTTTGGGAAAATATGGAAGAGTTGGATTAAATTTAAAACCTCGGAAATATACATATAATTGACAAGAGCATAGGGGGAAGTTTAGAAACTTGTAAAGAATTATTATGGTAAATCCATGAGAAAGATGAATTTAGTATATAGAGATATAGGCATGAGAGGAAAACTAGAATGGGGGGTAGGATGTGGACGGGGGCAGGTGGAAGAGAAAGGGATAGGGGGAAAATATGGGGTTATTGGAATATGTATGTAATATTTTATATAATTGATGATTTCCTTATTTTGTTCAATAATCAAATAAAAATTTAAACAAAAAAGCTTTATAACTAGGAACATAAAAAAAAATACAGACTGATTTTACTGTTGTTGGTTTAGCAACATTTTAAAGAGGCTCTGTCTTCGCACGTAAGATCTGTCAAAAATAGCTCCCTGCAAAAGAAGATATGGTTTAATAACTTCACCGATGGCCAATTTCTCCTCTATAGTAGTGCAGCAGCCTCTGTAATATTGTTCAATATTCAACACTTCCTGCAGGATTGCATGCTTGTATCCCATGCAATCCTCTTTAGGGCAATGACAGAGTCATGTTAAGCACCACTGGTGCAGAGTACTACAGGCTTTTATATCTCACTTCTCTGTCAATATCTTTTTAAAACTGAGAAAAGTTCACATAAGGTGATACATCACTGCACACATTTCATCTATGTATAGGAATGTGCCTATATCCTAGTCAACTTCCAGATTCAAATTATTTATAGAATTAAATAAAACACACTGTAAAAGCAAAAACCTACAATTCTAAAATCACATAAATTCTTCCTTCACCTGAAAGCCAAAGCAGAATTAGTAACTGGAGCAGCCCCCCTTGTACTAAGCTACCATGTATCATTCACAATCTCATAATCACTCCTATTCTGAATTATACTCTAGTGTAATTCAATGCAAATTCTGTAATTTGAATGAACTGCAATAGCACATACGAGATTACTCTGTCTAGGAGAGTAAAGGGAATTCTTATAGTTCAATACACAGTGGAGAGTTATGAAGAAAAGGTTAACAATCTTTCAGTTGTATAAATAATTGTGAGTGGCTGTAATTTCTTCATTTACTGTATCTGCCACTTGTACAAGGATGATTTGCACAGTTCTTCTGAACGTTGTCATCAGGCCTTGTAGGAAATTAAGAATAATAACTAAAAAGGTAGTTAAAGGAAAACTCCACTTCTGTGAAAAATAGCAAATACTCTATATATATATATATATATATATATATATATATATATATATCACAACTCCCTCAGGGATCACTGAGTAGTCTTTAGGTTCCTGTCTTGTCAGACCCCCTCTGAGAGGCCAACCCCTGCTGACACCCCCGTAAACTTCTGGCCAATAGAACCCTCTGGCTACCACCAGAAAATAGACTCACGCACAGTTTAGAGTTAACATTTTGAGTGAATATTTTGATTATATTGAGATCAAATGAGAGCACAATAAAGCAAGATAAAGAAAAATATGTGCATGTAATAATGGCTATCGCTCTTAGTAACTTCAAGTAAAGGCCAACATACAGCAAAATCTCAATCAGTTTCAGATGTCCTGCAATTCAGAATTTGACCAGTAGCCTTGAGATGCTACTTCCCTCAGTGGGCAAAGAAACTACCAAACAGTGCAGCTAACTCACTTTGGGCTCTCAGAGGCTGATGTTAGGGTTCAATTCTGAGGCAAAGAAATAGCCCTTAGATTGAATAGGTTCATGTCCCTTTAAACTGCAGCATAAATTCTTCCGCGCGCTCGATGGGGTCCAAGTTGGTGCTCTTTAACGATTCAAGTCTGTTTGATTGCAAAGGTGGCAGTTTCTTAATAAAGGGTGAACACAAAGGGAAAAGTGCTGCCCCTGTGACACATAGGGTGAGATGTGAATTTAAAGTGATTCTAAAAGGAAATTTTGTCTTTTGGAAAATAACAAACATGTCTATACTTACCTGCTGTGTGCAGTGGTTTTGCACACAGTAGCCCAGATTCTTCTCTTTTCAGGTCCCCCACAGGTTCTCCTGGCTCCTCCCTCCTGTAGGGAGCCCCCACAGTAAGCAGTTTGCTATGGGGGCACCCGCTGCTCTGTGTGTCCATTCACATACACAGGGGCGGCTTGACCCTGCCCCCTCTCTCCTCATTGGCTGACAGGTTGTCATTGACAGCAGTGGGAGCCTATGGCTCTTGCTTGCTGTCTCAGTCAATGAGGCAGCAGAGACCCGGGCCAGCCGAGAGTGTTGTACATATTGCTGAATCGCAGTGGAGCTCAGGTAAGTATTGAGAGGGCTGGGGGATCTGCTGCACACAGAAGGTTTTTTACCTTCATGCATAGAATGGACACTGTACCCAAATGAAATTTTTATCATTTTTTTCAAACAAATAGAGCTTTCTTTTGGTGGTATTTAATCACCACTGGGTGTTTTATTTTTTGTGCTATAAATAAAAAAAGAACAAAAACATTTGAAAAAAAAGTTATTTGTTTCTATTATAAAGTTTTGTGACCAGGTAATTTTTCTCCTTCACTGATGTGCGTTGATGATATGCACTGATAGGCAGCACTGATATGCAGCACTGATGGGTACTGCTAGGTGGCACTAATGTTGTGGCACAGATAGGAAGCACTGATGGGCACTGATAGGCAGCACTGATTAGCTGGCACAGATGAGGCAGCACTGATGATGCTGCACTGATATGCAACAATGATGGGCACTATAGGTGGCACTGATGGGCAGCACTGATGAGCACTGATGAAAGGCACTGACTGGCGGCACTGCTGGGCACTGATGGGTGGCACTGCTGGGTAGCACTGATGAGTGGCACTGATGGGCGGCACTGATGGGCACAGGTGGGTGGCACTGCTGGGCACATGTGGGTGGCACTATTAGGCACGGATGGGCACAGGTGGGTGGCACTGCTGGGCACAGGTGGACGGCACTGCTGGGCACTTTTGGGCAGCACTGCTGGGCACAGGTAGGCAGCAGTGGTGGGTGGCACTGCTGGGCACCGATCATCAGGGCACTGATCATCAGTACCTATGATGATTGGTGCCGATCCATCCTCTGACAATTGCCTGTTATCAGCACTACTTTCCTCACGCTGTGACAGCATGAGGAAAGTGCAGCCGATAACCGGCAACTGCATTTACCAGTGATCTGCTGTGTCATTGGACACAGCTGATCACATGGTAAAAGGCCGCTGTGATTGGCCTTTTACCACACCATGTGATCAGCTGTGTCCGTAGGAGATCGCCGGGTGCGCACCCTCTTGGTCGCGCGGGAGGGCGTGTACTGGGAGGACGTCATATGATGCCCTACCAGAACTGGACAACTGCGCTGTAGCCGTCATTCAGCTATAGCGTGGTTGGCAAGTGGTTAATGAATGTGTGTGTTTTATCGCCAAGGGCAAGAACTACAGGCTGGATGATTTCTTCAGCTGCTCATCCAATTTTGGGGTGTACTGCTTCACTTGCCCATGTGGTCTCCTCTATGTGGGCCGTACCATTCAAACTCTCTGCTCCAGATTAAGTGAACATTGTCACTTTATTGAGGGTGGTAAGGACACACACAGCGTTCCTAGACACTTTATAGAGGTTCACAACAAATGTACCACAGGACTCCGAGTTTGGGTTATTGAATCCATATCCTCTGATCTCCCAGAGGCGGAGCGCTTCCATGAGCTCTGCCACAGGGAAACTTTTTGGATTCACGCCCTTTACACACTGCCCCCTTCTGACCTTAATGAGGAACTAGAGATAGCTACTATACTATAACATATTATTACACAATATACCTTCCTTTTTGTTCATGCACATGACCATCTGGCTGTACCACCTTGTTTCTGTTACATCATGGTGTTCCCTACATCATCTGGTTGTACCCCCTTGTTGTTTTTTCTGTTACATCACAGTGTTCCCTATACCATATAACATTTGGTTGTACATCCATCTGCACTACCTAACCCACTTAAGTAGGTTGACACTGGTTAGAATTCCTAAATGGTTCCTTACTGTGTATATGTATATTCATCAGTTACCATCAGCATGTAAACAGTTACAGCCATTTGCTTTCATTTATATGTGTTATTTATGCTTAACACAATTCTATATTGGTGGATCAGTACTCAGAGCCCAGACTTATTTTTCACATTGTTATAATTGCTATATGGTGTAGCATTTATTTAATGTAATTGTGCTTTTAGGATCCCTTTTATTGTATGTATGTCAAGATATATTTTATCCATGCATTTATTCCCCATCTATTCAATTCCTCCTCATTATAATCCCCCCCCCCTCTCTTTTTCTTGTTTTTTAGTGTTTCCTCCGTTTCATTTCTTCTTATTTTTTTCCTCTTTTATTTTTTATATTCTATATATTTTTTTATACTTTA